CATTCTGCGTAGATCGGACCAAAAATTAATATTCAAAAACTGAATTTAGCCAGGCTAATTATGACATCTGGACGTCAAAGACCTCAGTTCCCCCCGCGACCATGGGTGCTGTGAAGCACCCGAAACGTCAGGAATTAAAAAGTTAAATTAAGCGTGATCAAATCCGTAAAAATTAATTTCATTAAATGTGTAGTCTTCGCGTAAATATAAGAAATCATTAAGAAACCATAATTTTAGTAAACGATAGTTTTTTTTTAAACTAAGTTTGAACAAACAAAAAGTCTAAATATCATTATGCCACTAATGTTCAGTATCATTTACATTGGATTAGAATGAAAATAAAATAAAAATATAATTATAAATAATCCGACGACAACCTTTTGATCTCAAAGGGGAGGAAGAAACCTGTTAAAAACATACGAAAAGCGAAACTGTTTTACATACATAGAGATACATAAAGGTGGCGCCGTCTTTTGATTGACTTATTCATGTTATTGAACTTACTTCACGTTTTTACATCCATCGCACAGATGACTCTGATTACAAAAATCGATTGAAACGCGTAATTTACATAAAAATCGATTTATTAAAAATCGATTTTTATTATAAAAATAATCGACTTCGAAAAATCGATTATAACAAAAAAATAATCGATTAATATTAAAATCGATTATTTTTTCACATCCCTATTTCCCAATACGGGCGCGCACAGTTACCCGCATCGTGGGTCAAGTGAGCGCATTTCGATTTTAAGTAAATAAATGCTTACAGAAAAAAAAACCATCAAGTTTTCTATTCTTGTTTTTATTTCAATTTAGAGGCTACTATATGGTTTATCTCAGAGCCGTCTTTTATATTCCTAACTCTTTTATTTTATGCGTAGTGAACTAATATTTACCAAACTGCGCACACTTGACCTAACACACACACTTTTTTTGTGAAAAATTGTACAGCAATATTTATTTTGTCTGAAACATTTAATCCTGCATATCTGCATGTTTTTCAGATAAAATATAGCCCTGGCTATATCGCAGTGTCAGGAGTTTTGAGCGATCTAGATCACAGTATAGAGTTAAGATAGATCACTCTTAAATTCTGACACTGCGCTCTAAATACTTATAAAGTTTCATCTAAATTGGTTTAGCCATTCCTAAGATTAATCTGGACAGAGACAGAGACTGTTCCTGACGTCACAGCCCATTATTCTCCCCGGCTCGTATCATCGGGCAGCAAACCTCAAACCGGTTCTGCGAGCGCTTCGCGGCCCCACCACCATCATAGACACAAGGCAGGACTACAACGCAACGCACGTCTTGCTCGGAACCACCCGGTCGCGAACGCACGTATTACGGCTACCTCTTATATACCAACCAATAAATTACCTATATACAGTCTACATATTGAAGTACTTATTTAAGTCAAGAATTCCACAAGCACAAGTGAAGCTTGATAATCAACACTGACTAAATTTCTAAAAATAGTTATTTATGTTATAATTGCATGCAAATAACCCCATGAGTCAGTTATTTTGATATAATATGTAGATACAGACACATACTTCAATTTTATTTATATGTCGCATAGATTTAAGAAAATTTGTAATCTGTAGGGCTTAATAATATTACCAAGTAAGATTTTGCAATGGCTTGTCGAATTGGTATATTATTACAATCCTATATTTTACCTATTTAAAAAATACCTTGCATTGTGGGTACATCTTTAAGAATTTTTAATGTGGTAAGAAAATAACATTGCTTTCGTCAATATCAGTTGGTCTTCAGTTATTATTGTTAATCTTGTATTTGAAGCCGAAGACTTCATATGGCTGTAAATATGGGGTACTTTATATGGAATCAGCAAAATTACCTTTCATTTTTATTTTTAATAGTTGTTTCTTCGCCGTCGGTTGTCGGTTCTTTGAGCCATATAGCTGGCCCATTGCCTTTCAACTTACTGTTTCGTTGAGCTCTTTCGGCTCTTTTGTTTCTTCTGCGGAAATTCTCATTACCTAGTCTATCACGCAGAAAAGCTCGCTGAACGACTATTTACTTCCTCTTATGGTCAGCGGTGAAGGACTACATTTCAGATCTGTATGTCATTACTGGCATATTTTTTATCTTCTTCTGCTTTATCATCCGTAACAATTCTCTGTTGGACATGGGCATATAACATCGTAAAAAGGATTTGCTGTAAATCGACGAGCATGACAGTAGGTTCAACGATCGCAGTAGCTGATTTCTCACACACTTGATGCGGCACTCCGTCGCCACCCCAAGTATTTTTTATTTGCCATATGCCATTTAATTACTTACGTTTTTTTTTCTTCCAAATGATCTTTTTTTCTAGATAAATATCGACCCTGTTTTTAAGTGACGACACGGTATTTATCGATATATTTTTTTACTAGCTGTGCCCGCGGCGTAGCTCGCGTATATAGATTTTACATAAAGAATTTGTCGTTTAGGTAAGAGAATATTAAACAATTTATATCATTACTGTATCAATAAGTGGTAACAAATAAATCATTATCATCAAAGTTCTAAGTAGTTTATGATAGAGCTTCGGTGTACACGACGTTAGAAGTAGACTTAGACGGGGTGTACACAAAAAGGTTACGGGGGCTACTAACGCGGGAAAAAGCAACATAGAGTTGACCATGTGCAAAACAGTCAGTACTGAGGTCCACTCTTACAACGCGTAAATTTTGACCTTGCGCTTTATTTACGGTCATCGCATAACACACGCTGACTGTAACTGGGAACTGAACGCGCTTAAAACTGAAAGGAAAGTTACTTCTTAATAGAGGGTTTTTTTGGCAGTGCAGCCAGATCAAAAAAACTCATTCAGCGCTAGGACAACACAAAAAGCGCTAGATTTCATGAAAACAGCGCTTTAAAAAAGCCCTAGATTTCGCGCTAAATTAACTACAAACAAAGTTTGTGTTTTTTATTATAATTTATAATTCAAGAAAATACTAAAGAAATCATAATAATCATAATAAAGAAAACAACATTAAGTTTTTTTCTGGCAATATTTTTTGATGTATCAATACTTCGCAGGACATCGACTTATAATTATGGCAATTGCTGTCAACAGTAGTTAGTACTACTCTAAGTAACTTTTAACTTAGCTGTGATCTAAACAACTGACTAAAACTGAATAAAGCAAAATAAATGCGTTGCCAAAACCATGAACGAAAACTTTAATGAAGAGGATTTCCCCGCTTATAGTTGTCGATAAAAAAATCAAGTTGATCATCCTAAAGGGGAAGCCAGGAGATCCATAGCACAGGGTATCCTAGTTTGGACTCGTCTCCCATGCTCTTTGTTTTGTGGAAAAAATATGTTTGAAAAAGATAAACTGCAATGTACTATTTGTGGAAAAAAAATAATAAAGGTCATTATTATTATTATCGGTAATGTGGACTAACAGTGCTGCTATAAAAGAGTTAATAACCCGCTAGTCGCTACAATTTTGAAATGTGTGCTAAATACACCAAAAAGCGCTGGATTAAGTGCTAGGTGCTAAAATTTCGAAATGCGCGCTATACATTCCAAAAAAGCGCTAATTCTAGTTCCCAAAGCGCTAAAATAGCAGTACTGATTTTGCGTATATTATAAATACAATATCACGACATTTCGTTGCAATTTTGTTATTTTTGTTCGGGTTCCGTTGTATGGCTTCGATAGATACAAATTTCTTCAGTAAGTCTCAATACGATTCATCGGCGAAAAATCTCAACACAGCAAATCAGAAAGTTTGTAATTTGTACAACTCCATCTATTACGTCCTTTGTGTGAGAAAACATCCTTTTTTAAATTTCTTTTTATGTTTTAAGTATAAATATATTAATTATTATGGAACGTTTTTTTTACACACAAATCTTTTTATTACTATTTCTGAGATTTTTATGGCGCCATTGAACAAATTCGAACCTACATTTTAAAATAATAATCATTACTTTCGATAGAATTAACCAATTTTAATAAAACAAAGATTAAATGTAACTTGAAGATACGCTTTATGGTTTTCTTAACGATTTCTTTGAAAAAAAAAAAGATGTTTACTTTAGACGTGATGCATTCATATAAAAACAGACAAACAGACAGACAGACAATTCTAAAAATTATAAAAATGTACTTATTTAATTATTTTTAGTTCCCCATAATGATTTTAGTCACCAAAATATATATACAATGTACAGAAAGAGACACAACAGTTATCATCATTTTTATTATATGTATATATTTAATTAAAGAGAGATGGCGCTGCTAACATCAACTTGATGACTCAACAAAGCCACCGTTGAGCAAATTCCCTACCCATACTTCAGAATATTTATCATAACTTTTGATGGAATGAACCGATTTTAATGAAATAAAGACTAAATGTAACCCGAAGGTACACTTTAGAATTTCCTTAACAATTCTTATGATATAAATTAGTACTTTAAACGTGATACGTTAACAAACAAACAGACAGACAGACAGACAGACAGACAGAAAATTCTAAAAATGGTAGAAATGTATTTAATTACTTATTTTTAGTACCCCTCAATCACTTTTATTACAAAAATATAAAATGTACAGACATTTGCTATTTACAGTTTTATTATATGTATAGATATAGATATTTGCCCATTTCTAATTGCAATATATCTATCTATCTTTCTTGCGCGGCTTGGCCTTTGGCACCGGTCTCATACAACAGCTGATTTTGTTATTGGTTATTGTTTTGTTACACTCGTCTTAACAGAGTTACGAGTATATATCAGACGTACGGGATTAACAGTAATATTTTATTTTGTATAAAAAATTTTATAAGCGAATTTTCAAAAGTCATCGAACCAAAGTTGTTGGTTTGAAAGAAAGGTCCCAAAGCTTTTGGTATAAGTATTAAGTGTGTACTGTGTATACTGAAAACACCACAGTTCAATAGTAGAACAAGTAGTATTTAAACTTGTTTAACTATAAGTATAAGTAGTATTTAAACTTTTTTACCTTCCAAACACCAATAAGATCTGTAGTGAGATCCACTTTCATGCTGCCATCAGGATTTTTAGGATGCAGGTCGCCAGGTACATGCTCAAACGCGAAGGGAGTATGCATTAGGTACATGTCTATATAATCCAGGCCGAGGTCACGGAACGAAGCATCGAAGTATTCTGGGACCAGCTCTGGTCTGTTTCCTGAAGGTACAAATATAGATATGTCATAAATATTTTTATTTATAATTTGATGATCCTCATAAAATGTTTAAAATTTTAGGCTCAAAATTTAATTTAATATTATACCTACTAGCTATTCAAATAGCTTATGTCATATCTAGCTGGTCCGTGCCCGCTTTGCTAGGCGTCAAAAATTTTAACTTGTGATGAAATCATGTTGTGTGGTTCTTAGTACTGAGTGTTTAGGATTTATTTTTGGAATTGATTGACAAATATTACTATTTCACATCAAAAATATTATTAATCATAATGAAATATAGCCTATGGCACTCAGGAATAATGTAGCTTTCTACTGGTGAAGGAATTTTTAAAATCGTTTCAGTAGTTCCAGAGATTACTACCTACAAACAAACTTTAAAACTTACAAACTTTACCTCTTTATAATATTAGTATAGATCTAGTTGAAACTAAAATAGTACAGATTCAGTACAGTTATCATTAATACCAGAATATTTTATAACAATTCATTTTATGTAGGTATATTATATTGGGAATCTTATAAACATATCCTGATCCTAAGATTAGCAGTAAATGACTGCTCATGACTGGTGATACTCTTTTGTTTTAAGATTCTGAGCTACACTAGCTTCACTATTACTCAAATCGGTTGACCTCTTGATCTAGTCTACCAGTTTAACTAACCGAAACAGACAGGATCAAGTAGTTCCAATTCGTAAACAATTTTGAGCGTTATAATTTCGAACAACTAATTCACAAAAATTCTGGCATTATGACTACAATTTAATCAGTAAATCGAAAATGAGTACGGTATCCGCTATTAATGTTTACACCATAGACTTAGAATATGCTGGCGTAATTCTAAGTCTATGGTTTATACCGTATTTTCTAGTACTCTTATAGTAGGTTGAAAAAGTTTTCTTAATGCAGTGGCTAAGATGAATCATCCTGTCTTAGGTACACCTTCCTGCAGATGACTAGGTTTGGTAAACGTATTCGGTACTCGGATAGCGTAGACTGTACCACAGATTACTAAATAGTTTACTAAAGACTGTACTGACTTCAGTAATTCAGTGATGTATAGTGAGAACAGAATTTAGTATTAGGTATATATTTTTATTCTATATTGCTACACCTACTTCAAATTCTCGCCACTCCATGGGTTGACTGGTAGAGAATGCCACAAGGCATTAAGTCCGCCCTTTGTATTCTTTTAGATTAATGAATGCAATAAAGAATAAATAAATTAAAAAAAATAATAAATAAAATATACCGACAGTTAATCTGGCACCGCTAAAGGGAGCCTAATAGTAAGGACCACAAACTTCAACTAAATCGAAGGCTATCTCATAGTACAAATACGCCAAACATATCCCCGACAAATCTCGTATCGAATTTGAGTCGTAGGGCTGGACAGGACAGGAGGTGTATACGCTAATTCGCTTGTCCAGTGTATGAATTACAGCATAGCCCGACATCCAACCCGACTCCCAACACTGTAAGTGAGAGGAAATGCGTTTGTAAGAACCTGCTACCTACCTCCAGGTGGTAACTTAGTGACAACAAATAGTTCCTTCCTTTTCGCCGGATCCGCGCCAATCCAGCGCTTTAATGCACGTCCAAGAGCGGCTTCGTTCTCATAGGCGCGAGCAGAATCAAAATGGCGGTAACCAGCCGCCAAAGCCTCTTCTACTGCTTTTTCCAACACATCATCGGAAGCCTACAAAGGTAAAACATAAATTTATCGAAGTACCTAAGTATTTATCTATACAAGTAAATAAAACACTTCAAGTGTCTGTTTGTAATGTCAAAATAACAGGTTTTTCCTAATTGCATATGAAAGTATATACTTAGGTACGGTACTTATAACAAAAACACAATTTTTAACATTTTTGTCTGTCTGTCTGTCTATCTTTCTGTCTGTCTGTTTGTTCTGGCTAATCTTCAAAACGGCTGGACCGATTTTGACGGGACTTTCACTGGTAGATAGCTCATGTTGTAAGGAGTTACTTAGGCTACTTATATTTTAGAAAAATATTTAGGATTCCACGCAGCTAAAATAAAACGCGTCGCTTCGCGGGGAACAGCTAGTTAAAAATAAATTTCAATATTACAGTAGTTCAAACTAATTTCATCCAACACTCCATCAGAGTTCAGAGTCCTGTCAGAATACCTAAGGAATAAGCCACGTGTACTGAGTAATAATTTATTTGTATATTCCCACACCACCACAGCCCTATCAAAGGACCACTGCTGTACATAGGCCTCCTCCAAGATTGCCCCGTAGGGGGGATATTGGCCATAGTTGCCACGCTTGGCAGGCGGATTGGCAACCGCAGTATTTTATTATTTGGAATTGTGTTCTGGAAGATGCCCTTCCCCTGTTTCATTTCCCTTTGTCGCCTCTTACAACATTCACGGGATGATATGCGTCATATTGTCCTTTGTGTATGTTCTTACTCCGCCACTACACGCTACATACGCTTATTTATGTAACACGAATTTTCACAAACTGACACTCCAGCTATTTGACTAGCCTTTAAAACGAAGAACCGACATCTAAAGGCGGAGAAATGTGAAACCCACAAGATTGTGTGACGACTTGAAGAAACTTGCAAGGAGTCGATGCATGCTGGCGGCTTAGGACCCTAATTTGTGACTAGCTACGGGCAAGGATTATTTTAATTTTTGAGATAATTAATTATGTATATTATATGCTTGTGTTATGCATATTCCGATCCCAGACAAAGTAATATTACAAGGTTCGGCTGGAATTCAAATTGATAAGATATGGACCTGTTTGTTCAATGATGAATGTTTTGTATGTCCGTCACTCTGTCATCGCATTTACGAGACGACAGATTAAATAGGTATTATCCCACCAAAAACATGAATGTGAAAAGGGGACCAAGTTCGGTACAAACAATGATTAGGGTTGTCGGTTTCGCAGATAAAGTTGTTCTTGTTGAGTAAAGTGAGAAAGTTAAGTTTTGAACGGGTGTCAAGTCTTAGCAGTTCCTTAAATCAGTTTCACCCTGATTCTGTGATATATAACAAATTTTTTGAAAATTTAATTATTTTATTAATCCTTAATACGTACATGACTTTCACAGTTTTGTTTTACGTTTACGCTTCGCTGTTTTTATTTAATTTAAGGTAGTTTGAAGTACAGTACTTTGACTTTGAACTAAACGCACAAATTTTTTTTTTTATAGGATAGGGTGACAAGCGAGCACACAGTCCACCTGATGTTAAGTGGTTACTGTGGCCCATAGACATCTACATTTATCCTCGTTTGCGAATCAAAATGCAGATGCGTTGTCACCCGTGAGGACTAAGATGGAATGCCTCTTTTCCAGTAAAAAGGGTTTCCGGTTCTCTACACTCACCATACGAAACATAGCAGTGTTAAGCTGCTATTTGACGCTGGTATTCTGTGAGAGCGTAGTCCTTCCCCGGTCGAGCCGATCCATTCGTGCTACAACTATACTACTAATATAGCTGCAGCATGGCTCTACCACGTATAAACGCACTAATTATGTCGAAATTTTTTTGATACCGAGAATCAATAATTTGTAGTTTCAGTTTTTTTTTATATAAGCCTAATAATCTATCTTGATGCCAAATTGCAGCTTGCCTAAGCCAAGTTTTTGATGAGTGAGTCAGTGAGACAGTGAAAGAATGAGTGATAAGAATGCCACTTCTCAGTCTAATAGGTTTATTAATGAAATTTAGGACTGTAGGTATTTAAGGGAGAATTCCATACTAGACATTCAAAATCACAAGTTTGTGTAAGTCTAAATTTTTTTGATATATATGATCGAAAGTACCTAGCTCTAATTGGTTCGGTAAAAATATATACACTGCCGGTGTATCGCGCTTTTCTTTTCCGATTTTTTTGGCTGACGCAACAGATTTGGTACCTTTCTGACACAATGTCATGTTACGGCTATGTGTTCACGTGTATAAATATATATAAATAATATTATATTATATGATAATAAATAAGAAAAGAACTTTACAAAAACAGTAACAACCTTCTTGATTTGTTCTTGATCTTACTTTATGTCAAATCGCTTGTAATTATAGAAAATTTATGACAGACTATGTCAGTTCTCAAAATAATAATAAGTTGAGATTTAAATTATGAACTTAAGAACTAAAATGTATATTATATACATTACTCAGGCAATTTACGGGTACTGACACAAACAGCATTCTTGAGTAAAGTATTTTTCTGATCTGTGATGTCTTCACCTGACATGTACTTATTGTGATGAGTGTTGTAAAAGAAAAGAATTCGAATGAGAGTAATTCTTGTCACGCTTCCACGTCCAGAAGATTAACAGCTACAAATGGGGACTGCGAAGAATGTGAATGCTATTCTTGTTGCAGTGATGGAACGCATTGGTCACATTGCTCTGATCACGTATACCATGTAGAAACCTGTCAGCGACCATTCTTCATTGCTGACTCTTCATCCAAACTTCATAAATCAAAATGGGACGTATTTAAAAACTTTTTTAAACGATACATTAAATTAAAAAGAAAAAATATGAGTAAGTGTAACAAAGAAAATGAAGAGAATGTTTGTAATCAATTGGAATTGGATTCAAAGGCTTCGCCTATTCTTTGTGATCAAAAATAATTTGGAGTATATTCTGTGTTTATTTTAATTGCTATTTAATTTGAACTTTATTACTAGCAAAACAGCATATCTGCTGTACGAATTAATTATTTACAAACAGAAATATATGTATTCATAGGACCTGTTTATGTGAATTCAATTATAATTGCTTTAAAAAAAGTCATGATTTATTTTTATGCATTAAACAAAAAAAATAGGTGTCGGAGGAGGTAAACAATAGGAATGTGATGCGTTCAAGCAAAACTGTTTTAAAACTTTTTTTTTCTTTTGAAATTGTTTTAAAACTTACCTGCCAAGTTCCAAAACCAATTCGCGGCATCCGATCGCCTCCCGGCAACACAAAATATTCCGGAAGTGACATTTTAAGATAATTTTAAATCACAAGATACAACAACAGTACAACAGCCTTGCAATAGTTATTTTAATATTATTATAAGGTTTCGTGTTTAATGGTCTGCGAACAAATAAACAATGAGCGAAAGGCAACGCAGCCTTCTCAACACTGAGTGCCTCCACAGCCTTGATAGACGCTTAATTTGATGCTATAAATACCAAGTGAATACAATTTAATAAGACTTGTCCTGTTCTATTGGAAAATCGCTTGACGTTTAATTTTGAGAAACATAAAAAATATAGTTAATTAATAATAATTATCTTTTCTCAAAATTGTTCATTTATGAGTAATTTTAAATTAATTTTGTATAAATTAGAAAAATGAAAAAGTCAGTCATCACTTAGTGCTTTTAACTATTAAATTGGTGTTTAAGTGTACACTTAGTTATTGTTCGCCTCAAGGTTTTAACCACGTAGATGTCAATCAGGAAAAAAAGGCATCATAATTGTTAATCAGCCATCTTTGCGTGCTTAAGTAACAAACATTCAAGCACTTAAGCATCATCATTATCATCATTACCGCTCTTCACAATTTTACTGCTGAACATATGTCTTCTCCAAGGATTGCCACAAAACACGGCCCTGGGGCCACCTGCATCTATCAACTTTACCATGTCGTCACTCCATCTTGTCATGGGTACGTGTTCATTTATGCACATAATTTGCATGTCATTCTCATCCATCAATACAAATAGACGAGCATGTATGAATGTTACGTTAAGCATAACATGCCGGATAACCGTTTAGTACCTTAGTTTTTATAATAATTATCAGTCTTTATTGCAAATTGTTGGTATTGTTGTTGTTGTTGAGTCGTTTGGGTTTTACTAACGCATAGGATATCAAATAGATTCATTCCACTGGTGGGTGACATGGGTCTTTCCCACTGTAGAGAGGATATGTCTAAACCGTCAGGCATTGCAGATGGCGTGACGATCGCAGCACCAGACGTTTCGCAACCCTTGACGTTGCTTCCCGTGGTTACCTTAAATGAATTGTTTAATGTGAGAAGAAAACTGTTTCTGTTGTAAACGTTACGTCTTCTTCAACCTTACATCCTAGACTATCTCCGCTTTCTATTTCTTCTTACTATTTCCGACCTACTCCACTAAGATTAGGACGGGTGAGTGAGAACGACAAGCACCTTACAGTTAGTGCCTTTAGTTAGTACACACAGTTGCACTATAATAAATACTTACATCATGCGCTGTTTATAGTTCACGAAATAACTAGAAAATCATCGCCTACAATACTTTTTGTATTTACTCAATAAACACATCGGGATCCCTGTCGGTCTTAAAACGATTGTCTTAAAAACTATTATTTTACTTGCTTATCACATGATTACACAAAGCCGAATGAACAATGTACAAAGTAAGTACCTACCTATATGTACCGTTTGACGACTTCTTTAACAGCGTGTCCTGCATTAAAATTTCCGAAACATGGTACCTATATTTAACACAATTGTCGGGCACCGTTAACCGCTTGACTGGTTTACTTAGGTACCCGAATTCCGTTAACTGATTGTTTATATCAATCGTGCTCATAAGGAACTAACTCTAATAACTATGTATATTTTAGATTTAAATATAAATGTCTATGAATTAATTAAATTAAAGTATAAGTAAAACATGTACATACACAGGCCTCCCCAAAGATTGTAACGGAAAACATGTAGGTAGATGTCGATCGAACTCACAAAAATAATCTTATGATAATATTAAATTAAAAGACTATCCGAACCGATTCTGTTGGATTTAAAATTTAAATACGATCAGAAATATAAAAATGTACTTAGTAAATAATTTTCTCCATAATAAAACATTATATAAAGAAAATTAAAATCATTATATAATATATACATTTATACAAATACATAAAATTGAAGTGTCTGTTTGTAATGTCAAAATACCAGCTTTTTACTAAATGCATATGAAAGCATAGAAGTATGAAAGTATAACAAAAACACAATTTTAAAATTTTTGTCTGTCTGTCTGTCTGTTTGTTCCGGCTAATCTCCGAAACGGCTGCACCGATTTCGACGGGACTTTCACTGGCAGATAGCTGATGTTATAAGGAGTAACTTAGGCTACTTATATTTTAGAAAAAGAATTAGGGTTCCGCGCAACATAATTAAAACCCTAAATTACACGCGGGCGAAGTCGCGGGGAACAGCTAGTTATAACTAATAAATTTTTAAATACATATCTACATATCCATCAATAACCTTAAGAAGTATCACTAATAGTCAAATACTCAAACGCCACTCAATTTTGAAGATGTCGTTAAGCCCTTGGTGCGTAGACAGGTCTCTCTCTCTACGCCTTGGTGTCACAGTCAAAGTGATAGAGACAGCACGAGACTTAACGGCAGCTTAAAATTGAGGAACGTTTCCTCTCTCTTCCTCTTTCTCTCCGACGCTATCGTCGGAGAAAGCTATATAAGTATTCAGAGTTCTTTGCGTGATAGAATCCGTACCACCTATGTGGATGCAGCTGGCCTTCTTTAGGGGAAGGCCTATGTTGGCTAAGCAGTGGACTTGTGATGGTCTGTATTAATGATGATGATGATGATTACTTAAGAACAGTAACCTTAGTAAAATGTTCATATTGTGAACCGGAGATAATAATAATATCTCACTCAATCCCCGTGCCTATGTGGCACGGGGATTGAGTAGTACATTTATATGTATTATTTAAATTATACAATTTATTTATTGCGTTAAGACAAAATTGGTTAATTTTATTGTGATTTTATTGTCCATTCAAAAGTCAGCATCGCATAACGTTTCTCATTAAACGCATATTAGCATAAAATCAAATTTTAAATTAGTTTAAATATCTAAACGGAAAAAAAAACTGTATTTGCGGCAGCTGCAGTTAAATTGTAATCACTTTGTATCTAAAGAACTTTAAATAGACCCACTTGTGAGACCTTTGTATTCCTGCTTTCATTGTGGTCAGACATTGTACAATAAAATAATGTGGCACTTGAAAGTTGCGTTTAATGTGACTGTGTTTATCTGTCAGTGACATCTATGTTGAATTGAATGATAAGTGGGTGAACATTAATTGCAAAATTGTCCTACTTTGTCGCAATGTAAATAAGGCCGGCAACATATGAATGATATGTGAATACTTCACACACATACGTTTATTTCCGTTCGGAATAACAAGGATCAGTTGAGAGACGTTAGCCATTGATTCTAGACATTCTGCCAGCGAATAATGACGACAATTTCCTGATTGCGATTCCATTGTTGCTGTATTATTGTTACTGGGTGCATCCCCTTATCACCCTAAACTTGCAATATAGTCAATATTATGTAAAAAGATCTATCTATCCAGAGATATTTTTTGAAATATGGATGTCTGTAAGCCCTTTCGACGAATTATTAAACAAAATAAAATGAAAGTTTACGAAAAGCTATACACTTATAAGATTAAATGTAAAAACGTACATAAACATACCTACACGTTTCGATCGTGCGACGAACACTGAGCGCGTTCCGTACGGAATTTACGAATGTATGTTGCGACTCATATAAAGTCTATGTAAGACTTGCGTTTGAAGCGGCTTTTTTTCGGGTTTCCGAACGCACAGGCGGTCATACGGAATCTCAAATCGGAGAAAATTTTGTACGGAAAATTACCGTTCGTGTGTGGCGGGTCCTTGATTTTATATGGACTTGCTGCCTTCGGAATCCCGAATGGGAATATCGAAACGGAATCCCGAAACAGAATTCCGTATGTACCTACTCGTATATGGCGGGCCTAATTGAAAGGAATTGAGCTATCAGAAAAAAAAACGACGGATGATACCGTAGTGCAGTGTCTAAGCATTTGGCTTCGGCGTTGCTGCCGCTGTTGAAGGCAAATCTCTATAACATGATAGGCTAACATCCAGCAGTGGATTTTTTGGAGGTGTAAAGAAGAAGTATGTATAAGTATACATTCTTGTACAATATGTTTTTATTCTATCACAAAAAATGGTAAAAAAACATTTTTGGTACATAATTTTCCTAAACCTCTAAAAACCTAAAGAATTCATCAGAATCGTCACAACAGTAAAGACGGACGGAGTTAGTGTGACACAGCAAGAACTGGCGGTGTATCTTTGTCAACTGTACAGCGGGTTGTCCAATAGTTTCGAGTGGATGCAGCATCTAACGTATGCAGATTAGGGTCACGATAGAGAGGATAGATAAAGAAGAACGGAAATTATTAAAAGAAAAGTACAAATCAGGTGCAGCAGGTGCACTTATCGATATATTGCCAAAAACATTATCTCAATCATTCCCATTGGACGCTCTTTTATTTAAGTTGAGCTAAGTCATAGTCAAAGTCAATATTTTAACGACAATTGGCCTTTACATTTAAAAAGCACTTTCTGAAAATCATAAAAGTTACGCTATTGCTTTAACAATCCTCTAATTTGGGAGATCTTGCGCGAAAAAGCGGCAAGAAACTCAAGCTCACTAGTATTTTTAGTTACAACTAGCTGTTTCCCGCGACTTCGCCTGCGTATCACGTAGTGTATATATTCTTGCCTTGGCGAGGAACCCTAATTCTTTTTCTAAAATAAAAGTATCCTAAGTTATTTCTTATGGCATTAGCTATCTGCCACTGAAAGTCCCGTCAAAACCTGTACCTTATACTGCGAAATAAAAATTACGATACTGCTAGCGTACAACTAATTCGACGCAGTCACTATAGTAAAATAGTCTCGTCAGTTCGTTTATATTAACACGTTTGCTATAAAATCGGTCTGGCCGTTTCGGAGATTAGCCGGAATAAATAGACAGACAATTTTTTTAAATTGTATTTTTGTTATAAGTACCGTATATACTTTTATATGCATTGAGTAAAAAGCTGTAATTTTGACATTACAAACAGACACTTCAATTTTATTGATTTGTATAGATTAGTTACTATTTTACCATCTATACATATAATAAAACTATAA